GGTCCTGGTCCCACTCTATGGTGGATGTGGCGCCGGGGCATCGGCGGGGCTTTCACGCTTGCCTCACCAGCCATGAAGCTCACCGCACGTCACTGGCAGAATGTATTTTCATTATTACAAATTGAACATAATTAAAGCATAGTGATTAAGCACAAAAATAATATGTAATTATATATTGTGAAATGGTTTGCTAATGAAAAAAATATACATAATATAATATAACATCTAACCTTGTTACAAAAAGTCCATGAAACATTTCAGTTGGTAACAAAATAAAAATAAAATGGAGAGGAAAGACAGTAAAAAAAAAAATTGTCAAAGAGAAATACAGTACTAGGTTGGATATCCCCTCCTATTTTTCATCTTGTCCTACTGGTTCTTTATGGTTTATCAATTGTTGTTTATAACTAATGATTGTAACTATTATTATGACCTATGACCTGTTACTTGCTGTTTATCTGTACATTATGATTTGGTGCAGTGGAGACAAATTCCTTGTGTGTCTTATCACACTTCACCAATAAACATTTCTATTTCATTCTATTCCAATTTCATTCTATTCTATTCTATTCTATTCTATTCTATTCTATTCCTATTTCATTCCTATTCCCATTCTATTTTCCTATTCTCATTCCCATTCCATTCCATTTTTCTATTCCATTCCATTCTATTCTAAGCATGGAAGCTTAAAACTTAAAACTAAAAAGGTTTAGTGCTTTATTTTTTTTCAAAGTGGCTGCTGAAGATGTTTTGTGATGGCTATCTTTTTTCTCCTCTGCCCCTAAACTCCTGGAATCCTCTCATTCATTCATAGATATCGCGGGAAGGAAATGAAGGCAGGTCTCCTTGTGAATGGACAGAAGTTTTTACAGAAAAGGGAAAATCTGAACGTCTGGAGCCAGCTGCTGCAGAGCGCCCGTGTGAAGCTCTGAGTCTCCGAGGAGGAGGAGGCTGCAGACTGAAGGGACATCGTCGCCATCCTTCCCACCTTGGTTCTTGGCTCCTTTTTCCCAGCGTCCCCTCCCCTTGCCGCTGGGAGACCGAGCCGAGCCCAGCCACCTCTCAAGGTGCTGCCTCGCCGGTGCTTGGGCGCTCCATTCTCCCCACTTCACTCGTCAAGCGCAGCTGTCCAATCCGCCCACCAGTGCTTCTTGTGTCACAATTGGCTGGGCGCTGGCTGTCTTTGCACTGCTGCTCCTGTCAGGTAGCCCCTCCCTTTCACAAAGCAGCAGCCCCCGCCACCATCGCTGCCATTCCCCTGGCCCCAAACACTGGCACGCAGGTTTCTCAGTTCCCAAGACCATCAAAAATATGTCTTGGGGTTCAACCCCCAAAGGGGTCGTGACCCACAGGTTGAGAACCGCTGGTGTAGAAGGTTGGCTGTGTAAATTTTGTGTCAAGATAGTGGACTTTCAGCAACACAAATTCAGGTAGTTATCCAAAACTCATGAGAGTTAAGGTTGAGATTGGCATCAGTTTCTCTTATGGGAACCTCCTACATTCATTGCCACCCTTAACCTGCCAGTGCCAAATATGTGCTCTCCCCAAATTAGGTGACCTTTATAATTAATTCAACTTTTCCCAGCAATATTACATTGTTATAAGAGTTCTCCCTCTATTACAGAGGCTGAATTGTGGCCTTTGGCCTTTCAGATGCTATCCTTCTCTGCACTAAAAGAAATAAAATGACAGTGAGCTTACTTAACTGGAAAAAAACTGAATACAGTATTCAGTTTAGGAAATAGAAGCTTTGCAACTTGCATGTCAGTTGTATAAGCAAACCATTGAATGTTTGCATTTGGACAAATCCTTTGTTTTTTTTTCTTTCATAACTAAAACATTCTTCCTAGTTATTTGACAGTTCCTCCAATTTTTTTGACAGTCCTGCAAAATGCTAATTGATCTACCAATAATACAGATTTATAGAGTCAAATGATGGTGTTTGGGCCTCATAATTATATAATTATATATAATTATAATAGATAGATATAAAATGTGCTGTAGTTATGCTGTATAAAAGTTGTATAGATATAAGCTTTGTCATAGCACTAAGTTGACATGATTGAGTTTAATAGAACATAAATTCAACTAAATTTGTCTTATATGTTTCATGGTTTGTTATAGCAATAATCTTGGCTACTGTTTACATGTCTCTGTACAGGTTTCTTGTGCAAATAGTTTATTGAAACTTTTAAGACTGTATTATGAGACTTAGTGTAATAAAAGGTAAAGATCTCCTTTCTCTCCAATTGGGAAATACTGTATGTTCCTTACATAGAGTTGACCAATTAGTACCTAATGGCCATTGAATTCTCTCTTACTCAATGGGTATTACATAATCCATCTATACACTTCATGACTGACTCATGTTCTCTTTTTTCTATTCCTTTCATTCTCAACCTTATGGCTGCTTTTGCTCTTTTGAAAACATGTGTGTGTGCGCGCGCACACCATGCATATTCATATGCAATAATATGATTAGAATAGAGTACTGCAGGCTACTTCTGCTGACTGCTGGCTGACTGCAGTTTGGCAGTTTGAGTCTCACCGGTTCAAGGTTGACTCAGCCTTCCATCCTGAGGTGGGTAAAATGAGGACTCAGATTGCTGATGGCAATATGCTGACTCTGTAAACTGCTTAGAAAGGGCTGTAAAGCACTGTGAAGCGGCATAGACAGTAAGTCTAAGTGCTATTGCAATTATGTTTACTACTGAGGATACTATAAACAGCAAATTGATAACTCAGTGGAGCCACCCAGCACGGCAAGTAAAAAAGTGTTTATTAATATAGCTACAGACTTCAGTAATATACTTTATTCAGTAATAGTCTTTCTGCATCCTGTTGGTTTGTCATTGTCTTGTGGCACATACAGAGCAAGGAAAAGTAATGCATGACATGTTCCAATCTTGTAGGAAGGAACCTCAGCCTGGAAGCTCTAGATAGGGCTGATCAGAGTTGTAGTTCCACAACTGGAGGCTCTTGTACACATTGTCAGTTTGATTTAAAGGGAAGGGATTCCCATGGTGGTCCAGAAAAACATTCTTAACTTTTTCTCCCTTTGTAGCAGCCTTGAACACAAAGTGATATTACTCTAGCTGTACTTTTAAGCATGCAAGAGATAAAGAAAGGGTGGGGGAGAGCTGGAGAGAAGGGGATCAGTTGTCAGGGCATGAAAACATATTTGGCTCATACGTAAGATTATCACATATTAAAGGGTTAACTGTAGGCTGGGATATTTAAACACTTCTTACTAGGTACGCACAAGCTTGTTTGTTTAGGTAAATAAATAAGGAAGGAATTAGATATAATGGGGAAAGAAGACTTTTTCCTGAACACTGCATTCCTTGTATTCAGCTACAGCTTGGTGCATAGCTTTTTAAAGATGCTGATTAGATGAATGCATTTTTTTCTTATATTCGTTCTCCATTGTAGTTTCTCTGCCTGCCTGTATCCCTTAGTGTGCAGCAGGTACTTATGAGGGTATCTTTCCTTTGCAGGTTTAATACGTCTTTGAGCATTTCACTTCTTGCATGCAATACTTGGGTTCAGGTGCAGGGATAAAGCATAGCTTTAGCTCTTTTAAGCACCTTAATCAACTCCTTTGGCTATTCCATTCTCTCTCCTTTGACCACTTCATGCTCAGTGAAGGCACTTAAGGTTGGCTGGAGCATTTGCCTCACTATTGGATTGATGCTGCTGGTGGTAATTGATACTTCTCTGGACATCTAAAGGGTAAGTGTGGAAGTTTCTAATTTATAGATTTAAGAAGCAGACCTCTTCATTATTCCAAAAATTCCTGTGTCTTCTCTCCATTCAAGGAGAAGGTAAATATTTTAAGATTTGTTGGCCAATCCTTATGAGTTCAAAATCTTCACTAACACCGAACACCAGCTAGCGGAGTGGTTTTTTTCTTCTTCTTCATTTTTTTGCAATTAGAGAACAATTCACTGAAGTAATCCTGGAATATTCAACAACCTTTTCAAGTTGAATGAATAATCCTTTTCTTACAGCTTTGCTGACGTGGTATAGCTAGGCACAAATCTGTAGTTCATTAGTGCCTATTCAGGTAGAGCTAATTCAGTACTGACATGCCATTACATTATGGGATCATGTTTGCTGCATTAATATGCAGATCCAATAATATGCACTTTGAGGTAGTTGCCTTATATACTGTATTACAGAAGTTATATTGAAACAGACACCTCTTTTGTCCATTGTTTCTGCTTAGCCAGGAATAGTTTTATTATTTCTTTTGCATCTTTCCATGTTAGATTTCTATTGAATGATAGCTGAGATTCAAATTCAAAGGCTGGGGTACAATATCTCCCTCTAGATTGTACTAACTATACTGATCTCAGGATGTCATCCATCTACTATGATGGAATCAGCTGTGGTACCATGTGGCTTGAAAGGAATAGATATGTTATAATAGAACATTAAAAAACTGTTTCCCCCTTAACAGATATCTACCTGTAATAACTAAGCACAAAAATAGTGACTGCTAAGCGGTGGAAGATACCCACTAAACTTGCATTTTGCAATATGTTTTGCTCCCCACTGCTCATGCGAGTAACTTCCCATTTCCCACCCTCAAACCACAAGCAAATTGGCATCATGCTTATTTTTCTTTCTGTGGTTATGCTTGGTTAGTGAAACACAAATGACAGCTCACCTGCCAAATCCTTCTCAACCATTTCTCATGGATCCAGGATCCTTGTGGGGCAAGAGGCTTCCCAGGAGAGGGAAAAGAGTTTTGAAATAGGGGCTTCTCAGCATTTTGAGGAGAACATCAAGCTCTGCTGCCCATCTGGGGCATGCACAGGTTTATGTTCAGTTGACACTTCAACCACTCCCCATACTGTTTTTGTCTCAGAGGTAATCAATAGAGTGCAGGTGGAGAGAGGGCAATCTGACCTTGGGACATGGAGACTTATGTATGCAAAGGCATATGAACATCAAAGCCAACTTAAAATAGGGGATGCCATCATCCATGCATCTCAGCAACAATCCAGGTGAATTTCTGGATGTTGGTTGCCACCTTCTCTGATCTAGAGATAGGACTGAAGAGCTAAGGCAACATGAACATTTCTTCAAACACATAGTGATAATTTCTGGAAAATGAACATAGAGAACTTCTTTGGTGGGAGATTAGGTGATCAACTGAGAATTGAGAATGAAATCCTGGAGAGACATAAAGGTGAGAACATGCAAAGGAATGGTCCCAGGAATGGTTCCCTGGCAGATACCTTGAAGGACATAATTATGAAAAGTATGTTTGCTTTTTTTCTCCACAAAATTTTGGTGACTTCTTAACTTTATATTGGATATGAAACGTAACCATTGCCATTAAAAATACTGCAGTAGCAAAATATTTTGTTCTTTGATTATGTGAATGTTTTGAAGATCAAAGCTTCAATCAGTTTTCAGAGTGAGCATATTGGATAATATTCAGCAAATCTCAATACTCCATCTGTAAAATGGACATATGGACTCATTCTAGGTAGCTGTGAGAATATCAGTCTTCTGCCCAAAGCTATTCATCTTTGCATCTTAGTAATGACAACAATAAGCAATACCAATAAATAATAGTACAGCTGGGACAAGGGGAATATAAAAGTACATCAGTGAATGATTCAGTATGTCATTCTATTCACGGTTATTCTTGTAAATGCTGTATGATGAATCTTCCTTTTATTCATATAGAATACTATATTGTTTTAAGGATTCCTTTTGTTTTTTTTTCCATGTAATTCTGGGCATAATGTATTTAATAAGCTGGATTGTGAACAACATAGTATATTATAAGAGTAAGTGGTTTGGTATTATTAACATTGTTATGGTTCTGTAGTTACAAAGAGTAAGAAATTTTAGCAACACGATGAAATGATTTTTCACCCATTGGGTTGCATATATTTTAGCTGAGTTTTTTTTTAAAAAAGCAAAATTATTTAATACTTGGGGCTTGTGAATATCTACAAATTTGAAATCAATTCTCTCCTTATACAAAAATCCTTTCCTCAGTTTTCCTAGTACAAGTGAGGTCAATACTGCCAGCTCTCTGAGATAGTATAGGTTCTTAAGAGTTGTTCCTTAAATATTTTGTGGGGAATTGCAAACATTTTACAAATAAAATAATGATGAAGAAGCTACAGTATCAACAATATTATATCTATTAATGTCTTGAATTATGACTTTCCAGTCTGATGTGTTAATGAGTCTGAAGTAAAGTGCACCTCACTTCTTAAGAGAAGCAATCAGATGTGACTATTTAAAAAATAAGAGACACAGTGAGTCAGTGGCTAAGACACTTAGCTTGTTGATCAGAAAGGTCGGCAGTTCGGTAGTTCAAATCCCTAGCACCGCGTAACAGAGTGAGCCCCCGTTACTTGTCCCAGCTTCTGCCAACCTAGCAGTTCAAAAGCATGTAAAAATGCAAGTAGAAAACTAGGGACCATCTTTGGTGGGAAGCTAACAGCGTTCTGTGCACCTTTGGCATTTAGTCATGCTGGCCACATGACCATGGAGACATGTTCAGACAGCGCTGGCTCTTCAACTTTGAAACGGAGATGAGCACTGCCCCCTAGAGTCAGGAACAACTAGCACATATGTGCAAGGGGAACCTTTAACTATACCTTTACCTTAGTTCCATTTCAAAAGTTCACATCTTACTTTTCTTATCAGCATTTTCTTATGAATAATGTAAGTTAACACAGCTGTGAGTAATTATATTTCTAAACCTCCAATTATAAATATGGTCGTCCAAGTTTGCTTTGAATAGATGTGTATCAGAACCAGGGACAGTTCTCAAAGACTTAACATGTCTTTTGGCCTTTGACACTTTATGAAGGAGATCTTGCATCCCACATTATGTCAACAAAAGGAACATTCTGATCTTAGAAAGGTAGTTGGGCTCTTCAAGATATGTGAATTCACAATGCCAATGAAGTCAAATCACAATGTAATGTTTAATCTGTGATGGAAATAGGTACATTGGCTGCAGTAGGTGTTGAATTTCTACTATAGAGCAATACAAGTATATAGGCAAAACTCTTTCTGTGTATCTCAAACCTCACACAAAAATCTGGTATTTGGACAACTGAAATAATATTCCATTTTGAACCAAGGTGCAATACCGTCCTATAAGCATAGGATGCAATCTTTGGAACTCAAAATATTCACACTTTGTCAGATAAAACAAGGTGGACAGCACTATTTTTAAGTCCAATATGACATATTAGGATCTTTAGATGTGTTCTACAGAAAGACTATAACTCCTAGATTTGGGGTGGATGGGTAAAAATTTAAAATGAAAATGTTTGCTATATGGACAATAGACCGGACTGAAAAATATTTTTCCATTTCAGATCTAGATAAATGGTAAAGCTCTGAGTAACTCTGAAGAAATTTTATAAAGTGTGAGAAGAAGAAGAATAGGATCAGTGGTTCCCAAACTTGGCAACTTTAAGACTTGTGGACTTCAACTCCCAGAATTCTCCAGCCAACTCTCTGGGAGTTGAAGTCCACAAGTCTTAAAGTTGCCAAGTTTGGGAACCACTGAATAGGATGAACAAAGAGGAAAGGGAAGCTGCATCAGTGAAAGATGTAGGAAAAGCCCTTTCCCATACTTTAAAGCCATAGTAATATATAGATGTATCTATATTGCCATGCCAGATATTCTCAACACAAGAAAGGGACCAAGAAACAATCAGATGTCCACTATATTTCTCCCCAATATTTGGGATTTATATTTTTTATTTGAGGTAGTTATTTTATTCAGTCTTGTTCTAGTCCTAATTGTATTTAACTGCTTTTCATGGCTGAAAAATTATGTATTCATTTTTAAAAGAACTGAACATAACTGGTTAGGCATACATTTCTTCAATTTGGTATCTTTTAAAAACCCTTCTTCTCAATTTGTTTCCTGTTGTGCCAAAAGCAATTTGGATTTAGAATTATCCGTATTTATATACTGCATTGGTTTTTGTGCCTGTTTTTTTCTTTAAAGTTTAAAAAGCCCAGAAGACCTGTCAGATTTTAAGTCACAGACTTCCTATGCTTCTTTCTCCTGGGCTTCTAGCAGTGCTGCAATCTGCATATTCCTACTTATGGAGCTTCACTGTACAATTCATCCTAAATCAAACTATTTGCTAATGGAATCAAGTTTAATTAATAGTTTCATTGTTTGGACTCTTTTTAAAAAAACTATCTGGGCTTTGTGGAAAACAGTAAAAGAAAATTACAAATTGTCTACAATAAGGACAAAATATGACAATTCTATATGGGACTGGACTTAAAATCTGAACAGATCCACAGCATAAAATATGGGTCAAACAATCAAATTTGGTGCTTTTTTGTGGAATTTAAAACCTTTAAGATATTTGTTTATATTGACTAGAGGTTTAGAGGTTTAGAGGTTTATTGGGATTTATATGCCGCCCTTTTCCCTGAGGGGACTCAGGGCGGCTTACAACCACAGGGGAG